GTTGAAGAACACGTATACACAAAGGGGCCACTAACCACTCTTTTGGGGGTCCTCCATCTTCCTCACTGAGCCCCAAGAGTCATGGGCAAGTTTCTCTCAAGTCTAAAGCTCTGTTCTCTTACATTAAACTTCCCAGTCTTTTTGACTTTTGGATACTGGCACATGTGTTATATGTTGTTTCTGCACATATGTGCATGTCTATACATGTGTCTGTATACTGTCTACATGATACCAAATTGACTTATAAATGAATGAGTATTCATAAATTAAATAACTAGCCCAAATGTTTTTCAACATTTTTTATTTATTTAATTAATTTATTTTTTTTTTGAGACAGAGTCTCACTCTATTGCCTGGGCTAGAGTGCCATGGCGTCAGCCTAGCTCACAGCAACCTCAAACTCCTGGGCTCAAGCAATCCTTCTGCCTCAGTCTCCCAAGTAGCTGGGACTACAAGCATGCACCACCATGCCCCACTAATTTTTCCTATATATTTTTAGTTGGTCAATTAATTTCTTTCTATTTTTAGTAGATACAGGGTCTCACTCTTGCTCAGCCTGGTCTCGAACTCCTGAGCTCCAACGATCCGCCTAACTTGGCCTCCCAGAGTGCTAGGATTACAGGCGTGAGCCACTGCGCCCGGCCTATTTATTTTATTTTTATTATTTATTTATTTTGAGGCAGAGTCTTGCTCTGTTGCCCCCAGCTAGAGTGCAACCTCAAACTCCTGGGCTCAAGTGATTCTCCTGCCTCAGTCTCCTGAGTAGCCGAGACTACAGGAACATGCACCTCTGCACACCAGGCTAATTTTTCTATTTTTAGCAGAGATGTGTCTTGCTCTTGCTCAGGCTGGTCTTGAACTCTTGAGCTCAAGCAATCTTCCCACCTCAGCCTCCCAGAGCACTAGGATTACAGGTGTGAGCCACCACACCCAGCCCAAGTTCACATGACTTTATTAATCTTTGGTTAATAAAGCTAGTTTCATAATTATTAGTAAAGTAAAATAAAAATGGCTTCAAATTTTAATTTAAACATTTTTTGCTTGAGTCTACTGGTCAGACAGATTTATGCTATCTCTGATAGATGTTTTAAGGTTGCAAAGCTTGATTTGTCTATGAGCTAAAGTTGCAAGGGTTAGCTGCTGGACTCCCCTAAAGCCTTGCACACATCTTACTGTGAACTTATGTCTTTGATTTTGAGCCTTTGGATTCTGGGGTCTAGACAGGTAGCCATGTGATACCTGGGGGCATATGTGCGTCCACAGTACCTGGGCCACCACCTGCAGGGCAGAGACACGTCCATCATGGCCCCAACCTCCCTGGCCCAGATCTGCCTCCTGGCAGTGGTGAGAGGGGACAGATCTTCCAGGCATTATTTTCATAGGTCTGTCTTCTGTCCTTGGCTCTGCACCAAGTTTATAAAACCTGGGCCCAGATGGGCCCTGCCCTTTCATAGCTGCCCTGGGTGCCACGTGGGTACTCAAGACCCAGGATGACCGGAGGAGACACTGAGAAGGGTACTTATGTCCAGTATCTCAAATGCCTTGGTTAAGATGAGACTGGCTAATGTAGGGTTATCCTGGCTTTGCTTCTTTTCAAGGGAAAAAAATAATAACTTAAATGACTAACATTGTTTTCCATGAGCAATTCAAATGTAATTGTTAAAAATGAGATTAGGTAAACATAAGTGGAATAAAAGTTTATAAATGAACTTTTAAATAATTATTATGTTTTATAATATGTTTACTTAAAGGTTTCCAAATTCCTTTGGTAACTACAACCTGAGAGTTTTGCTAAGTTAAATTAAATCACATATATTCATTGACTAAGTCATTTCCAAATAAGATATAACCCTAAAACATTAATTACTAAATACAGGTTTAAGCCTGTATACTTTTGGCTTCTTATTTCAGATAAACAAAAGATGTTTGGGTTTGTTAGTAAATACATCCTGTTCCACATTAAAAATTGTTCTATAAAATATTGTTATGTAAAAATGCCTGTGTTTCTAGAAATTATAAAATATGTATTTATAAAATGTTTTGGTATATAACAGTTCAAAATTACCTTACTTCCTAGGTGTTTAACTAGAAATTAAGGTTACTGAGAGTTGAAATAATAGTTCATATATGTAATTAAAACTACTAGAAATAAGGGATTAAAAATAAAAATTTTCTAAAAACCACATCAGAGGTACCCTGTAAATATATACAATTGTTATGTTCTACTAATAATTAAAAATTTAAAAAAAATAAGAAAACAATTCTGGAAGCAAAGTGTACCAAAAAAAAAAAAAAGCAAGATTTTTTGGTGAGAAAAATTATAAGAAAGGCATGAAGATGTGATTTTTGTTAAAGAAAAAGTATTTTGTCCAATTTAGAGGCTATTTAAAGGTTGTTTCAAATTGAAAGAATAAAAAATGATATGGAAAAACTGAGTGGCTATAGAAAGTTAGGGAAAGGATGAGAATAGGAAAAAATTGTAAGAGATTATAAAAGATATGGAAATCTTACCCTGTGTGGTCAAAGTTGACTGAGATTGGATGGATTTGTTTACTAGGTTTCATTAAAATTAGCTTTCCCCCTTGTTCATCTGTCTGTCGCCAGTATATTTTACAGACTCAAATTACCGAACCTTCGGGGAGGAGAACTAAAATTTCCCAAAAGTGGTCACATAGCTGGCTAGTGGCAGAATTGAATTCCAAATCCAGCTCTCTCTGTAAGGCCCACAATTTCTACTACATCACAATACAACTTATAAAGTGCTATACACATATTCATTCGAGGTATTGTTGTTATTATTAAACTTGTTTGACTTGACATAGGTTTATAAACAGAAATCAACATAAAAAATCTAATTGCACAAGTTTGGAAATCTAGTTTCAATATGGGATAGTAAAACAGAAAAGTTTCATTTTCATTTCTTCATTTTCCAACTTAATTTCAATGGAAAAGAGTAGTTCATTTAGAATGCACAAATGGTGTTAACAGCACTCACAATCTCCAGTGCAGAAGGGACTCTGGTTAACATTTATAAAATGGAAGGGGCCCAAGTAAGTTTGCCAAAAGGAGGAATATGGAAATTCTGCCCACAGCCAGAACAATGGACATAGATTTGTCAAAACAAAGAACAGTAAAAGGAGGGAAGGCAATTTGTCCAGCCCTTGTTATGCTATTTTATGACTGTTTTTCCAGTTGTTGATTTTCCTATTCACTTTAACAAAGAAAAAGATTAAACAAAAAATTTTAACATTTACAAATTTATACTATCCTTTAGTAGAAGCAAAAAACATTGTAAACAGTAAGCTATAATGTTCAAAATCCAAACCAGAAAAACAATCTTCAGTCAGATAATTAAATAGCAAAACTGTCCATTCCAGTTCTACAAAAAGAATCTTCGAGATGCACACTGTTCATCTTTGGCACAACTTTGAAGTTCTCATGCTAATAAAGATTAAATTTAAATGTAGTTATCCTTAGGTTATTATTGCCCTGAACTAATGGATATATTTTATGATGTTACACAAGAGTATGTTGGCTTCCAGATCGGCCTTTGGATAGTATGTCAATGAGCTACATCTGGACAGCTAGGAAACAGTAATCAGAAAGGTGGGTAAATTTAAACTTTGAGTTTAAAGTACAAAGCTGAAACGACAGGCCCTGAAAATCCAGCCACAAAATAATGCCTAGAGCACTCTTTCTTTAAACATTGTGTGGGTACACATTTTTCACCCTGGCTCATGGAGGGAGCAGTGGTGAAAACAACTTTTCAGATATTAGGCTGTAGGTGCTAAGGATTTTCTAAGTCCTTTTAAAAACATTTTGTGCATTTGCATTTACAATACGGTATTTCTCTTTTCCTGGTAAGCTGGAAACCCATACAAGCCATTGCAGCGTTGCTCTGGCACTTCATCAAGTACAGTTAGTCTACCCTCCATAGAAGATATCAAGTGGGTTTCCGCTCCCCAACTGTGCCCGCGCCCGCAGACACACACACACACACACACACACACACACGTATCTGTGTGTGTGTGGGACCTATGAGAGAATATAAATTCACAGCTCCAACTCCCCCTACCAGTTACCAAGCACACATTAAGGACGTGCCCATTTTATGGGGACTGTTTTTAAACTCTTCTTAGAAACTAACACGGCTCTGCACAATCAGCGAGTTTTCGCTAACCAGTACGGGATTTTTAAGAACGTTATCTTACCCTATACTTTCTATGGGTTCTGGGAGGCGGTGCGTGAAGCAGGTAGTCTGCAACCTCCTGCCACTCTGTGGCTGGGTTTTAAAGGGCTGCATTCAAGGGCTTGGGGCTAACGTTCAAGCCCCAGGCTCCACCCTGGGATTTAAACTCTTAACAAGTTGATAAACTCTACTCCGACGTGATCTTTGCGGGGTTCTGGGCGCCTGGGTTGGGAAAGAGTGTAAGGGGTGGGGGTGAAAGGACAGTTCGCACAGACAGTTGTTTGCTCCAGAGAAGAGCCTCCGTGGGCGTTCAGGAACACGTGCACGGCTCCGGCAAAACAACACCGAGCCGGGTTTCCGGGGCAGAGGGGAGCACAGCTCGTTCAACCGAGTCCAGCGAAACTGTGCCCAGTAGCTACCTGGTAGCCGGGCGCTCGTTTCCTTCCCGAGCCAGGGAGGGGGCTGGTTCTGCAGCCGAGAGCGCCGTCCCCAGCTGGCGAGCCGCGGCTCTGGGCGGGACCCGCGCCTGGCTCCGCGTCCCTGGAGCTCCGCACCTGGGCTTCGGGAGGAGGAGCCTTCGAGGGCTGCAAGGCCCGCTTGTTTGTTTCCTCCTCCTGAAATCCTGTGTCACTTTCCGACTGGCATTTTCCCCATGGCCCGCACAGGTCCCCGTTTGTTCCTGCAGCAGTTCCCTAAGGCACTGGCTTACTGTACCGCCCCCGGCCCCCGAGCCCTCGGCTTCCCCAGCATCCCCCTCCGCCAGGGGTGGGCGTGCAAACCGAGCCTCCCCGCCCCCCTCCCCGGCACTTACACGTGGCCGCAGCGGGTCCGGACAGGCTGGTGTAACACCTCGAGGCACACCGAGCAGTCGAAGGACGTGACGGGCAGCTCGGGGTCCCCCCTGCGCTCCAGGGCCCGGGGGGCGGCAGCGGCGGGCGCCGATTTGCCGCTGTCGCTGCTCAGCACGGAGCCCATCGCTGTGCCTCTCGCCCAGACAGCTGCCAACAGCTCAGTGCCTGCTGCCGGGTTGTTTTGTTGTCCTGCGGTGGAGGAAGGAAGTCCCGGCCCAGCTGTGATCGCCGCCTCCCAGCGCCCTCCGCCAGCGCAGCCCCGATGCAGCCGCCGCCGCCGCTGCGAGCCGGGTCTGGCGCGGGGCGAGCGCGCGGCCGCGGCGCCCAAATTGTCTTCTGCGAGCGGCCGGGGCGGAGGCGCGGAGGCGGGGGCGCCGGCCGCACCGTGCTCGCTGCAACGTCTCGCGGTCCTGGGAGGATTGAAACCCGAAACCTCAACTGCAGAGAGGAGAGAGGACTCGGGGCGGCGGTGAACCATCCAAGCTATCACACGCTGCCTCCTAACCCCTCTGTCAAAAGTTAAGGAAAGTGCGGGCCTGGTCGTGCTTAATGGAGATTCTAGAACGCCCACTTGTAAGGTGACGGTCCAATCAGCCCTCCACTGTTGTAATCGTAAGTTACATAGATGCCCCGTGACCGATTGAGCCTCTCCTAAGACAGTGCTAACTATTACTTCGTCATCTCATTAATGGGTAGTAGCATGGGGTGGTGGGAAGGCGTTCAGAGATTTGGGTTCCACTCTTATCTCTAGGACGGGGATTCTAGTGCTAAATCCTAAGATCCCGTCTCCTTGGCGACTCAGGATGTCCTCTATTGTTTGCACTGTCCCCACCCCGCCCTTTGACGTGACCAAGTATATCATTCATTAACTCTTGCATTTAACGAAGACTTATTTAGTGCCCACTGCATGCCAGACCCTGTTCTGGTAGAAGAGGACACAGTTCTGAAAAAGCGAACAAAATCCCAGTTCTCGAAGAACTTACTTTAAGAAAAAAAAACCCCAAAACTTTATTTTGAGATAATTACGGCTCCACATGCAGGTTTAAGAAATAATACATAATACACACACTATATATACATACAAGAATACATAATACATTTATATATAATACACATATATTCTTACATCCTATAAACTGCACCCAGTTTCCCCCAGACTTTACTTTTAACTAGAAAATATAACTAATCAACAAATAAATAAATGAACAAGATCATTTCAAATGATAAGAGTCATGAAGAAGCTAAAACAGGGAGTGAGGATAGGGGAAAGGATAAGGTCAGAGAAGACTTTAAGTGACAGTTGAGCAGAGCCATAAATAATGAAGAGGCCAGCCATGCAGAGAGATTTAGGGAAAAGCTGGGTAAGCACTGAGGACAGTGAGCGAGGTAGGACGGAAGAAGAGAGAGATATGTGGAGCTGGATCGTGGGGACTGGAGGGAGGAGAAAGATGGAAAGATAGTGATTCATATTTTTATAAGAAAACAAAAGGCCCTCCCGCCATCCCACTTGTGCCTCAGCTCCTGCCCTATATCCTCTCCAAGGGCAAATCTCTTGTTCTGATTCTGCACCTTTTATGCTTCCATTTATTAATTATCCACTCGTTATCCGGTTCAGTGCGGGTTCTGAACCGACCACTGCACTTCCAGCTGTCCGCAAACTGCTTCATCATAATCATTGGTGATCTTCATGTGGCTAATTCCAACAGAGGCTTTTCACTCCTTGCTCGACTTCTCAACTCCATTTGTCCGTGTCCACCACAACCTCCTTCCAGAAACAGTTCTCTTTGGTTTTCCTTTTCTCTTCCTGGCTGTTCCTTCTCAGCCTGCTTTGCGAGTGTCTCCCTCTCCACTGGCTATGGACCAGGGATCCTAGGATTCTGTCTTAGCACCTTTTCCCTTCTCCTCACTCCCTAAGTATCCCCAAAAATCACATGGATTTTGTCACTGTCTAGGTTCCGAAGACTTCCAACTCTTTATCTTCACCCCAGGCCATTCAAATGCCCAGCTGTTTAATTGGCATGACTGCTTGACATGGACACCCTCAGCCCAATGTGTCCAATAATGAACTCATTAAAATAACCACCCACCTTTCCTCCTCCAGTGGCTGATCACGCTGTTAGCAAATGTCACAACGATCCACCTCAGAGCTCAGTCTAGACACCTAGAAGTCATCCTTGATTTCTTCCTCTTCCTCATTCACATTGAATCAGTCACAGTCACAATTCTGTCTCCGATATATTTCTCAGTAGCTCTTGAATTGGCTCATTTTTTATCTATTTCTGTGGCCACCAGTTATTTTAAATCATTGCATTCATTCTCTTGAGTGACCTATCTCAATAGTTCCTAACTGCTCTACCTGCATCCACTATTGCCTCTCTCCAATCTGTTATCCACTTTGTAACTAGAGTGATCTTTTGAAAAACAAACACCTTGTGTCACCCTATGCACAAAACCCTTTGATGGCCGGGCGGGGTGGCTCTGGCCTGTAATCCTAGCACTCTGGGAGGCCGAGGCGGGTGGATTGCTCAAGGTCAGGAGTTCAAAACCAGCCTGAGCAAGTGTGAGATGCCCGTCTCTACTAAAAATAGAAAGAAATAAATTGGCCAACTAAAAATATATAGAAAAAATTAGCCGGGCATGGTGGCACATGCCTGTAGTCCCAGCTACTCAGGAGGCTGAGGCAGCAGGATTGCTTGAGCCCAGAAGATTGAGGTTGCTGTGAGCTAGGCTGACGCCATGCCACGGCACTCACTCTAGCCTGGGAGACTCTGTCTCAAAAGAAAAAAAAACCCAAAAAACCCTTTAATGACTCTCCTTAACCCTTAGGATTAAATTCCAAATCCTTAACATGATCTACAAAGTCCTGTATGATCTTACTCTTTCAATAACTATAAGCAGGGGGAGGTAGGAAGAGAAACAACAACAACAAAATAACTGAAATCAGTTAAAATAACTTAGGTGGCAGGGGATAGAAATTAAACTAAAAGTGCCTCAATCAATAAAGATATTTATTATCTAATATGGCAAATTAGTCCAAAATAGTCCAAAAATAAGCAGTTTCAGAGTTGGCTCAGCAGCTCAATGATATCCTCAAAGCCTCCAGCCCCTTACGTTTCTCAGGGTGTCAGTAGTTTCCTTCATGGCTGGAGATGTCAGTTATACTCCAACAATCGCTTCTATACACAACAGTCTCCAAAACAGAAAGGAAAGGATAGAATTTCTTCCTTGCAGCTCTCTCTTCTTTTATATGGGAGGAAAATATTTCCTAGGGGTCTTTCTTAGCAGACTTCCTCTTATATTCATTGGTCAAAATTGGGCCATGTGACCATTCCTAAATCAGTCAAAAGAGAATGAGAGTGCTCTGGTTGCCTACACTCACGATTTATTCCATTGGGCTTGGCACCTCAGCTATCTGAAACAACAGAAATAGGGTTCATTTTACCAAGAAAGGAGGAGATGAGGCAGTTGGATAGCTCAAGAGTAGGGTCTCCCAACATAATCATTTTTGGCCTCATCTGCTATAACTCTCCTCTTTCTTTTTCATGCTCATAAATTTCTCCAGTTCTTTCAGTTCCTTGAGTGTGCTAAGCTCTGTCTGATCTCAAGGCCCTTATACATGCTTTTTTTTTTCTCTTGGCCTTAAAACTTCCTACCCAGCATTTCACCGTTCCCAGTGCAACTTTCTCTGACTCAAATTTTGGGACTTAGCTTGGAAACCATTCTACACCGCATTCATTTCATACTATCTCCATACTTCTTTCATAGCCTGATGTATGTGCCTTCCTATTTATCCTGCTTGTGGCTACTCTGAGGGTTAGGAATAATGGCTGTAAAGTGCCTGGCATTTAGGAAGTGATAAATATATGATTATATTTATATATATATATATATATTTCAATAATAATCTCACAAGGTGGGCCAGGTGTGGTGGCTCACACCTGTAGTCCTAGCACTTTGGGAGGCTGAGGCAGAAGGATTGCTTGAGGCCAGGAGTTTGAGACCAGCCTGGGCAACATAGTGAGACCCCCTTCTCTACAAAAAATAGAAAAATTAGCTGGGAACGGTATGTACCTGCAGTCCTTGCTACTGGAGAGGCTGAGGCAGGAGGATCCCTTGAGCAGAGGAGTTTGAGGCTACAGTGTGCTATGCTGACACTACTGTGCTCTAGCCTGAACAACAGGGTGAGACACTGTCTCAAAAAAAAATAAATAACAGTATATATGCATATACCAGTATATATGTGTATGTGTGTATATGTATCATATATACCCATACACAGATATACATAAATGTGTGTACACACTTGTATAATCCTTAAAGAAATATCAGTGATAGTATATAATATATAATAGTTGTTCACCTTGCTTTTATCAATTAATAATATATCTTGGAAAGCCTTCTCTAAGAGTAGTTATAGAACTGCCTTTCTTTTTTTTTTTTTTGTCAGAGTCTCACTTTGTGGCCCAGGCTAGAGTGCTGGGGCGTCAGCCTAGCTCACAGCAACTTCAAACTCCTGGGCTCAAGCAATCCTCCTGCCTCAGCCTCCCAAGTAGCTGGAACTACAGGCATGTGCCACCATGCCTAGCTAATTTTTTCTATATATATGAGTTGGCCAATTAATTTCTTTCTATTTATAGTAGAGATGGGGTCTTGCTCTTGCTCAGGCTGGTTTCGAACTCCTGACCTGGAGCAATGCGCCCACCTCAGCCTCCCAAAGTGCTAGGATTACAGGCGTGAGCCACCATTCCTGGCGGAGATATACTTCTTATGGAGAAAAAGCATTATGTATTTCACACTGCCTACACACTCAAGGTCACAGCTCTTTCTTTTGCTGAGTGACCTTGAAGTTTCATCTTTGGTCTTGGTTTCCTCATTTGAAAAAGCACAGGCAGTGTTTACCTGCAGAATTGTTCTGAGAGGTTAAATGGAGCAATGATGGAACCCTTGGCTCCTTGCCTGGGAGGGAGTGTTAAACACGTGTGTGTTGGCTCTCTGACCTCATTTGTTCTGCAAACATTCAATAAGAGCCTACTTCGTGTTAAGCAAAGTAGACAATGTCTAGTAAAGCACCTCACTAAACACTGGGGGCACAATCAGGCTCAAGGGCCCAGTAGAGTGGACAGCTATAGTTTTTGGCCATCAAGCATTTCTTCACCATCTTCTATAATAGCCCCATACTCCATTCCTTTGAAGGAACTGTCCTTTCATCATCCCGGTATTTAAGAGATACTGTTCTGATTGGTTACTATGGACCATGCACAACGTTGAATGCAATGTACATACATGTATGTGTATGTGTGTGTATGTTTCAGTGATATAACAATGACTTCAGTGGGGCTGCCACTGACGGTCTCCACTTTTCATCCTTCACAGCCCTCTCCTGGCATGGGCAGGAGTTCCTATTGCTGTGATCTGTAGCTTCCCTAGTGTCTGTCTTTCCTAAGTATAGTTGATAACACTTCTTTTTCAATCTCCTAGCTATGTAGCATCTTACCGATACTTACTTCCTTCTTGTTTAATTTATTCAGAGTTGAGGTCTTTTGCCTATAACCAAACTAACTGACACATCTATCGTGTCCTCAAGGCTTTCATGACTAACTAGGTAATATGAACAGTTAAATTGCTTTTACATTTATAATTGAATATGATAAAACCAATGGTAGAGATCTACACAGTGAAAACAGTTGTGTTAACTTCATCCAGGGAGGTAAGGAAGAGGAGGGAGAAAGAAATAACATTCCAGATAGAGGGGCCTGCAATGAAAGAAACAAAGGCATAGTATTCCAGATAGAGAGGACCTGGTGAGCCCAGACAAGAAAGCAGGAAGCAGCAAGCTCTGTTCAGAGAGTCTGCAAATTGTTCCTTGCTGGTGGAATTTTAAGCACATACTGACAGTAAGGAGGAAAAAAAAAAAACAAACTAGAGAACTAGGCAGAATTGAGGTCATGAAATCTGTAATTTGACAGGTTAATAATTTTCAACTTGCTTCTGT